GGGTGCCGTCCTGCCCCTGCGAGGGATGTGCGGGCCGGACGCCGCAAATCCCCGTCCCCTTGCCCGGACTGCCCCGGCGCGGGGCGGGCGGCGGAGCGCGGCTCGATGCTTCCCTCTGCCGGGGCCGCGGCCGGAGCGGGCGGCCCGGGGCGCGCACGGGCGCGGGCTGCGGATGGGTGCGGGATGGGTGCGGGTGCGGGGTGGGTGCGGGATGGGTGTGGGGTGCAGGATGGGGGTCAGGGTGTGGGGTGCGAGTCAGGGTATGGGGTGCAGGATGGGGGTCAGGGTGTGGGGTGTGGGATGGGGATGTGGATGCAGGATGTGGGAAATGGGATGTGGGATATGGGATGTGGGATATGGGATGCAGGATGTGGGATGCTGGATATGGGATGCGAGATATGGGATGTGGCTGTGGGATGCAGCATGTGGGATGTGAGATGCAGGATGTGAGATGCAGCATGTGAAATGCAGGATGTGGGATGCAGGATGTAGGATGCGGGATATAGCTGCAGGATGCAGGATGTGGATGCAGGGTGAGGGAGGCAGATGTAGAGGCAGGAGATGGGATGAGATGCAGAATCCAGAGGTAGGAGGCAGATGCAGGATGCAATAGGCAAGTGGAGGCTGTGGAAAATGGAAATGCAGGAGGTGGGTGTGGTTGCAGGGTGAGGGAGGTGGGATGCAGATGTGGATGAGGAAGCAGGACGAGGGAGGTGGGATGCAGATGTGGATGCAGATCTGGATGCAGGATGAGGGAGGTGGGATGCGGATATGGATGCAGATCTGGATGCAGGATGAGGGAGGTGGGATGCAGATGTGGATGCAGATCTGGATGCAGGATGAGGGAGGTGGGATGCAGATGTGGATGCAGATCTGAATGCAGGACGAGGGAGGTGGGATGCAGATGTGGATGCAGATCTGAATGCAGGATGAGGGAGGTGGGATACAGATGTGGATGCAGATCTGGATGCAGGATGAGGGAGGTGGGATGCAGATATGGATGAGGGATGCTCCAGTCCCTCCTCTCCCCATGACCCTGTGGCCTCAGCCTGCACTGGGAGTTCCCCAGGTCACCAAGAAGAGGAACCATCTCCACAGAGTCACACAGGCTGCCCCATGCCAGATGCACCCAGAGGCTCTGGGTGCCATGTCAGGACCTTCACAGAAAGGTTTTTTAATTCCATTCTTCCTTTTGTCACATTCCTCCTTTTCCTGGAGCAGGGAGACAGCCCAGAAGTCGAGTCCCTGTGAGAGGCTGCTCTCCTGCACAGCCTCTGCAGAGAAACTTCACCTGAAGGCTTCTCCCGAGGAACCTCAGCAAAGCCTCAGCCAGAGCCAGGACCCACGTGCCTTGGGAGGTCTGGGGGGTGTAACTGCCACCCCCTCCCTGCCCCAAGGATCATGGAATCATTAAAGTGGCAAAAGACCTCCAGGATGGAGAGAAACTATTTACAAGAGCCTGGAGGGACAGGAGCCAGGGAATGGCTCCCACTGCCCGAGGGCAGGGCTGGGTGGGAGATTGGGAATTGGGAATTGTTCCCTGGCAGGGTGGGCAGGGCTGGGTGGGAGATTGGGAATTGGGAATTGTTCCCTGGCAGGGTGGGCAGGGCTGGGATGGAATTTCCAGAGCAGCTGGGGCTGCCCCTGGATCCTGGCAGTGCCCAGGGCCAGGTTGGACATTGGGGCTGGAGCAGCCTGGCACAGTGGGAGGTGTCCCTGCCGTGGCAGGGGTGGAAGTAGATGATCCTTAAGGTCCCTTCCACCCAAACCACTTCCAGATTCCATGATTCTCCGGTATGCCCTCACACCTGGGAGCCCCAGGCAGACCTGTGGCCAGCCCACCTCGGGGTGGGTCTCACAGCTCACAGCCTGTCTGGGATGCTGCAGCAGGCAGGAATCCCACCTCCAGTGGGACCCCCCTCCCTGTCAGCCCCTCTGCAGACCCGCAGACCTGGTCCTCAAAGCTGCCAATCTCTGGGAGCTGCATTTGCTTTTCTGGTTAATCTTCAACTCCCCTTTGTGCCCACAAGAATAACTGTTCCCACTGATAACCCCTGCCCACTCCCTGTGATCCCTGTGGCTCTGCTTCCTAATTAACTGATGGAAATTGCTGATATCCCTGGCACAATGGTGTGGATATCCAGCACTCTGCTATACAACTTTAGACTTTATTGAGGTATTTATTCATTATATTTTTTAGCAAAGAAAGCAGGCACAGCCTCATTTTCTATTAGATGTTTTTGTGGGAGAGAAATCAATAGAGGAAATTATGTTTGGTTCAAATATTTATGCTGTGACATCACTCAGGGTATGGGCATTTCTCCAAATGAACCACATGAAGTGTGCAAAGCACAAAGCCACATCTGACCATAAAAAATGGCATACACAGAGTCTTGGAATCGTGGAATGGTTTGAACTGGAAGGGACCTTAAAGGCCACAGAATCAGAGAATCATAGAATAGAATCATTGAGGCTGGCAAAGCCCTCCCAGCCCAGGGAGTCCCAGCTGGGCCCCATGCCCACCTTGTCCCCAGCCCAGAGCACTCAGTGCCACCTCCAGGGGACACCTGCAGGGATGGGCACTGCAAAGCTCCCTGGGCAGCCCCTGCCAGGGCCTGAGCACCCTTTCCATGGGGAAATTGCTGCTGCTGTCCCAGCTGAGCCTGCCCTGGCCCAGCCTGAGGCTCTGATCATCATGAAAATTCACAACTCTTAGGTGGAATTTTCTCACCCCAGTCTGTGCAGTAATTCCAGTTGGCACCAGGTGATGAGTTTGCCCTTCAATTTTGAACATCCTTTCTGCTGTCTTTGTGAGCTGTGTTACCCCACCACCCCTGTGAGGCTCCAGCACACAGCCCCAGCTCCAGCCCAGCTCCTCCGTGGCTGTGGGGTCACTTTTGGCTTCCTGCAGCTTCCTGGTGGTCCAGGACTGACCCGATTTTTGCTCTGTGCACAACCAGAGTCACCACAGTGGGACCAGCAGCAGATGTTGGCCATGAGAATGTCAGCAGTGGGAGAAGAATTTTTCAGGGATTTGTGTCTTGGACAGGCTGATCACTGCAGCACGGGGGTTAGCACAGCACAGGTGTGGGAGGTGCAGGTGTTCAAGGCCCTGGTCTCACTGGTGGAGAAAGTGTGCATGGAATGCATCCTGTCGGGGCCAAAGCAGGGATTGGGAACAAAACCCCCACAGCCCTGCAGCACCTGCAGCCCCTCGCTGTCGGCTGGCCTGGCACACCCAGCCCCAGTCCAGGACAGGGCCTGGAGCTGCTGGGTCCCCTCCTGCCCAGGAGCCCCAGCTCAGCCCCAGCTCCCCCAGCATCAGCACCAGCCCCCTCCTGCAGGTCTCCGGGTGACCTTGGGCTCAGGAGCACCCACCAGGCCCCCAGGCCCTTTTCCCGTTCTCCTTTCTGCTCAGATAGTCTTCCCCTGGAATAAAAGCACCGATTATAATGAAATTTAACCCAAAATCTGTGGGACAGGTCTGCTCAGGCCCCAGGCAGCAGCACAGTCTGCCCCCAGGCACTGGTTCACTCCTGCTAATTTTGGCTAATGCTAACGAGGAGCTGTTGTGGCTCAGCTGGGGGTTTGAGGTGATCAGCCCCCCCGACAGCCTTGAGGCCACTGCAGCCTCCCACGGGAGCTGCCATCAGCAAAATCCTCAGGGAAACATCCTCCCCCTGCCAGCCGTGCCCTCTGGCACAGGGACTGAAGGGATTTGCTTCTTCTCTGGAATTTTCACCTAGTGGAAGGTGTCCCTGCCTGTGGCAGGGGTGGAACTGGATGGGTTTTAAGGTCCCTGCCAACCCAAAGCCTTCTGTTAGAATACATGAAATAAAAGCCTCTCTGAGCCCCTCAGAGAGACAAAGGAATGCAGAGATTGAACTGGAACCTTTAGAGAAACTGAAGTATGTTAAGCCACACAGACATGAAGCAGGAGTGTAAGTTTTAGTTTTAAGTAAGTAGAAATATATGTTAGGAGACTGGGTTAGCAGTAAAAGGCCCTAAAGCCTAGTTTAAAGTTCAGTAGTGATACCTTTCACAAAATTAACTTAGTTCCAGACATCATGAAAACACAGCAGAGCATTGCTTGCATTTCTAGATAGAACAGATAGAACATCTGTGTGAACAGACAGAACTCTATGTGTAGGTTTTGGGTAAGAACAGACACTGCTTTTGCACATTAGAATTAAGCTTGGCTAGGTGTAAGAAGAATGTTTTAGAATCGCGTTTTTAGCTGATCAGATGGTTTATGAGTAAAATCCCCCTGTGTTAGGGGGCAGAAGAGGTAGTAGCAGCTGCTGCTAGCTGCTGCTGCTTCTGCTGCCTCTGCTCAGAACATCAAGACCCTGTGCCAGAAAGCTTTTAGCTTTTTTTAGCCTGGATTTTAATACTCTGAACTCTTCGCCTTCGAGGCTGGTGTATTCATGCAATAAACAACTTTACAGCAACCAGCAACTGCTCCTGTCTCTTTGAAGACCCAAGGCCAGCTCATACCTCGACCCCTTCTGTCTTTCCCTGGCCGTGCCAGCCTGGCTGAGCTGTGCCACAGCTCCTGCAGCCGTGCCAGAGCGTGGCCACTGCTGGCCACGGCTTTGTGCCACGTTTGCAGGGTCCCGGGGCCCTGAGCCGTGCCAGCCCTGCTGCCTGGGCACTTGTCCTGTGGCTTTGCTCCCTCCAGCTTTCCCTCAGACCATGCAGTGGCTCTCTGCTCCTCGCTGCTGCTGCAAACTTGCCTCTGAGGGAGGCAGAGCACAGCAAACCTCTGGCTGGGGCACAGGGGCAAGGCTGCAGCACGTGGGGCAGGCACAGAATGCACAGCAGCACGGCAGGGCCCCAGGAGAGGGGACCAGGCTGTGGCACAGAGGGGCACAGGGCAGTGAGGGACGGGCACGGGCTGCCACTGCAGACCTCATGGCTACAAACACCTCTGGAATGCTCAGGTAAGGAAATACGAGCACAGAGAGGGACAAAAATGGTTTGGAGGTGACAAAGAGAGCAAAGAAGGAGCCTCTGGTGTGGAAAAATGCAGCATTTTTAGGTAAGGGGGTGTACGGGGATACAGGCAGGACAACAGGGAGATGGTGCAGTGCTCTGCATCAGCCCATGCACAAGTTCCCCCTGCAAGGACACGGTCTAGACATTCACACGGGACAGCCTGGAAAGTTCTTTGGCGAGATGGGGGGATCTGCACACCCAGAACACAGTGACTGTCCAGGGAAAGGTCACAGGAAATGTAATTCAGGGCTGAACCACAGCTAGATGGAAAAGCCTGTCCCTGGAAGTGTTCCAGGCCAGGCTGGACAGGGATGGGAGCAAGCTGGGACAGTGGAAGCTGTCCATGCCCATGCAGGGCTGGAACTGGATGAGCTTTAATGTCCCTCCCAACCAAACACTCCTTTGACTCTGATTTCTGCTTTTCAACAAATTTTGTCTGAGTAAACATCAAGTCAACCAAGTGTCTGCTGGTACCAAATGGCTCCAGGACCAGCTGTGAAAATCTGCAGAAGTCCCTGCTGCAGAAGCCTGGGCAGGAAGGAGTAAAAGTATTGCTGGTGTCCACTGGAGCAAGAAATTTGAACCAGGATTAGAGCAGGATGTGTCTGGGAAGGGGCAGGGCCCTCGTGGGGCAGCCCCGTTTTGGGGCCAACTTCCCTGTTCTGGTCTGTGGTGACCGAGCAATACAAAGGACAGGGCAGCCCTGGGGACAGGAGGGGCATCAGCTGCTGGCTGAGAGCAGATCCAGTGCAGAGGATCTACCAGGAGACCCCCAGAGCCCCTGGAGCCACTTCCAGAAAGGCCCAGAAGAACAGAGTGCAGGTGCTCCCAGGAAGGGCAGGGACCCCAATGCCAGGGAGGGGAAACTTTCCTACAAAAAGTGCCCCCAGACCCGGGCGGTGCCCCAGGACTCCCTGCTTGGATCAGTGCTGAAGCCAGGACTGGTGATCTCCTTTCCTATCCAGTCTCTCTTTCACACTCTTCTGCCTCCCTCTTTCATTTTACTCTTTTATTTCTCTCACTGTTACAACGTAGGGGCAAAACTTGTGCTGATTTCCAGGCCGAGTGTGGAGCTGGCCAATAAAACCTGGTTTTTGAGCTTTGTTTGTGGGACCCTTCTGGCTTTTGCCATTCCTTTGTGACCATGGGCACCTATGACTCTTGGGTGCTCCCTTCTACACAAGAGCGGGACGTGACACCTGGTACGACTGAGTCACCGAGCAATAAAACAACAGATTTCAAAGAAAAAGCAGCTGAGATGAGCACACAGTGATGCACTGGGGAGAGCACGTCAGATGGAAGATGACAGGCTGGTGGCTGACAATTATCTCTCAGGAACAAGCTGTCACTGCTCTGACAATGTTACAACACAGTTCAGTGATCAGCAGTTCCAAAAACAAAGCAGATATTAGAAATTCCCTGGCAAGGAGCAGGAAACGTGGCCAGGACAGTGCAGGGCATCTGAAACTGCCACAGTCCTGAGCCTCGGGGGGCAAAACTCTTCTGGTGGAGGCAGCAGAGGTGGCAAAGGGCCCGAAGTGGGTGCGGGGATCTGCCCAGTGACATCTCCAGTGTGAGAAGCACAAAGTTGTTTTCTACCTGCCAGGAGGGGACAGCCGGGGGGTCGGGCTCTGCTCCAGGAACAGGGACAGGAGGAGAGGGAACGGCCTCAGGCTGGGCCAGGGCAGGCTCAGCTGGGACAGCAGCAGCAATTTCCCCATGGAAAGGGTGCTCAGGCCCTGGCAGGGGCTGCCCAGGGAGCTTTGCAGTGCCCATCCCTGCAGGTGTCCCCTGGAGGTGGCACTGAGTGCTCTGGGCTGGGGACAAGGTGGGGAGGTCCCTTCCAACCTCAGGGATTCTGTGATCACCAGAGCAGGGTCTACCAGAGCCTGAAGTGCTCACACATGAAATTTAGAAGGATTTGCTCTTCATGCAAGTGATTCATCACTGAAACAGCAGTACTGTGTGTGAAGAAAAGAGCAAATCAGCCCCCAGACCTGCTCCAGGAGAAGACTCTGCTCCCATGCTGAGGGCGAGGGCTTTCCACAGACTCTGGTGAAGCTTTCAGCTCCAGTGGATGTGCTCAGGGGTTACAAGGAGGTTCATTGCTGCCCCTCAGCACCTGCATTTCTGGTTTGTGGTGGGAGTTGTTCTTTTCCTTCTGAGGCAGCAGCCTGGGTGTCATTTGCTGCCTTTTGCATTTACCCGACTTGTTCCCTACCCAGAGCCCTGGGTCGGTCCCTGCTGGCTCCTCTGCCCAGTGCCATGGGCAGATGGCAGTGCCTGGTGCAGGGAGCAGAGAGGGCTTGGGGTGAAGCCCAGGGCTGAGCAGACAGCTGCTCTGGGAAGGAACGCTGGATCTCTCCCAGGCAGGAGGTGCTGCTTGCGAAAGGCTGGAGCGGCCCTGTCACCCAAACATTGTCCCCTGTGCTGCCAAACACTGGCACCAGCCCCAGCCCCTTGCAGAGGGGGAAGTTCCTCCCCAGAGGCAGCACCCGTGCCAGCAGCTTTGCAGTTAAAGCTGCCCCGGGAAGCTGCTGAGCTGAGTGTGTTGAGCGGTGTGCAGAGCTTAGAGGCTTTTTGGGCTGGTAAGGCTGACGCTGATTTGGGGCACAAATGTAGTTGTAACGCAGGTTAGCTGCTTCCTAGCTCTCACGTTTCTGTGTCTGCCTCCCCAGGCCTGAAGCTGCTTTTTCTGGGGTGTTTTGTGCTGTTTTAATGCTGTAAATGCTTTGTCTTGCTTCTGTGTTCTGCAAAATTCTTCTTAAAATGTGTCTGCTTCAGACCCTTGTGCTGTGTCAACAAGGAATGGGAAGGAATTTTCTTGGTTAAGTCTTGATGTTGGTTGATTGGTGTGGGGTTGGTTTTAGGGCTTTTTTTTTAGAAAATGACTATAAAATTGGTCCCGGCCTCTAGGCAGGCAGAGGAGGCCAAGGATGTGTGAAATATCTTTTGTCACTCAAATCAGACCAGGCTGGAGCACCCTGGGATGGTGGGAGGTAACTGCACATGGCAGGGGTGGAATGAGATGGGCTTTAAGATTCCTCCCAGCCCAAACCCTCCTGTGATTCTTTGGTGATTCAGCCCTCCTGGAGACCTCGGGAGAGGGTTTCCAGGTCTCAGACGCAGATAAAGAAAATGTTTTCCTGTCCTAGCACAGCCCTGCAGCTCCTGGCCCACGCAGGCTGCTGTGCTTGGTGCATTCCCTGCCCCTCTGAGCACTCAGGAGAATCATCCCTGAGCTCCCCGTGGTTAGGGGGGTGCAGGAGGTTGGGGGGCTGGAAGCTGCTCTCTGAAGCAGTGGGGTGGCAAGAGGGCCCCGAATGAGGGGGTCTGGGAGCACCCCTCCTCGCCCAGGGGGATGGAGTGACCAGTCCCAGCTCTCCCGGGCTGTTTGTCCCACTGATAACAGGGCCTGACCTTGCAGCCAGCCTCGGGGGGGCTGCACGGTGTCCTTGGTGCCACCCGCTGCTGCCAGCTCCTCAGGAGTGCCACAGCACCTCCCTCACTGCTGCGGGACCCAACCCTGTCCTGGGCTGTCCCCTCTCTGCCATCCCTGTCCCCTCTCCCATCCCTGTCCCCTCTCTCACACCCCTGTCCCCTCTCTACAGCCCTGTCCCCTCTCACACCCCTGTCCCCTCTCACATCTCTGTCCCCTCTCTACAGCCCTGTCCCCTCTCTCACACCCCTGTCCCCTCTCCCATCTCTGTCCCTTCTCTCCCATCCCTGTCCCCTCTCTCACATCCCTGTCCCCTCTCCCACCCCTGTCCCTCTCTCCCACCCCTGTCCCCTCTCCCAGCCCTGTCCCCTCTCAGCCCGCTCCCGGGATGGCAGTGTCGCTGGCGGTGGCCCTGGCGGTGGCTCTGGCGCTGCTGGCCGCCGAGGCACTGAAGGAGCCGCTGCTGAACGTCTGCATGGACGCCAAACACCACAAGAGCGAGCCGGGCCCCGAGGGGAGCCTGTACGAGCAGGTGGGAGCGG